CAATTACACTCTAAAAAAATTGAGAGAATATTTTGAATTAAGGAAAAGAACCGAGAGATCAAATAAATCAGAAAAAAAATTTAAATTTTACAGAAAGGATAATTTTTGCGATGCATTTTTCAGCTTATAAGTTTGTTCAAATTGAAAGTAGACGTATGTAATTACACCAGAAATACTGTAGGGCGTCAACATTAAAGATTATAAAAGAAGGTTGAAAGAGTGTACAAAATTGCACATGAGAGCATTTAAGGTGGATTTAAAATCAAATTAAAAATGGAGGTGCCCAGAACAGAATGACGCACATCAGTATGGTTTTAAATTACAGAAAATGATTGCTTCGTTCCTTCGTGTGACGCACTATAACTGTTCAGCCACCTCTAATCATTTAATCAACAGGAGAAATGGTATAAATTGGAAGTCTTGGTGTTTGTGTACTTTAGCCTAGTTTATCTGATATAAATGTTTACTTCTCACGAAAACTTCCGTGGCATTTTTTTACAACTGTTTGTGTTTGTTATAGCTTACACGCATCTATCTTAAACACAACCTTACATTCACAGTAAATGGTCTCATGCAGACTGTTAAATCTGCAGCTCATTCTTTCTACTTTCTTTTATAATCCATAATGGTGGAACTGCTGTATTTCTGACACTATTACAAGTGTCCAATTTTCATTTGGGCAATCCTTTTATATACTTGATTAAAAATTTCATTGGCTTCAAAAAATTTGGAGATGGTAATTAGAGTTAACCTGTTTTGAGAGCTCAAGAATAGACGTCCATTCTCAATACTCACCGGACGAGAAAGAGAAAAAACAAAAATGATTCAAAATAAAGAGTTGTCTAAGACAAATTGAAAATAAAAGTGAGAAACAAAAAAAAGCAAAACAGTGGTTAGTCGAGAGTGAAACCGAAAAATAAATAACGGTGAAAGAAAATAAACTACTTTTGTCGAAAGATGTAAAAATCTCAATCAAGATGTGGGGAGGAAGTCGTTAACAAGGGAATCGGCATTTATATAAATGAAGCAAGATTCCAGGGCATCAAGATGAGCTGATGTTAGAGAGAATTTTGACATTATCGAAATTATTTTATGCCGAAGGATCTAACAACGTGCGGAAATAAAAGATTTATCGCATTATTGATAACAGACATATTTATCGTATTTCTTTAGTCTACACTTTGGTGCGTCCGATGTAAACAATTTCGACAAGGCCAAAATTCTTTCCACCCCTGCAACATAAGCTCATTTTTGATGCCTTGGAATTTTATTTCATTCCCACGAATGCTTATTTAATCCAATATATCTTTTCGCTTTAGTTTCTTGGGTTTATATGCTTTAAATAATGAAATTTTTAAACAAACGGATTCAGTCAATAAGAGATAAGCACATACTTACTTATATGGCGATAATGAGGACTGAATGGATATTGCAAGATAAACTCGGATGACGGCTGAACAAACTTAAATATTTTAACCTAGAAAAAATAAGAATTTTTTAAGTAATGTCATCAAATTTTCTTAAATAAAAACTTTTGCCAGTAACCTCTTGAAATCCTAGCTTTAAATAATTGCAGAAAATAGAATCTTTACTTAGAAATACGTAACTTAAAATAAACTCATAAGAGAAAAATTACTAAACATGATTACTTTTTTAGTTATATTTAATAATATATTGTACAAAATGATGATAAATTTTAATTGTTAGCTTTTTTTTGCACTGTGTAGGATATTTTTATAAGGTATTTTTTCACATTACAGTTGTGAAACGAAATCCAGTGCCATAAAACTTTCTAAAAAGTTACTTGACTCGAATTTCTTACCTTTCTTATGTTTTTCATTATGACTAATAATTCTAGCTAGCTGTAACAAATCTAATTATATTTTTACATAGATTTTCTCTTTATGAAAGCACACAAGCAGAAAAATATCTTAAAATGCTATTTTTTAAGTTATAAAATTGCATCTAATGTTGATTTACACATTAAACGTTGGGTCTTAAGGCTGTTCTTGGTAAGTTGTGCTTAGTTGAGTGTATAATTAAGTAAATCATGAACTTCAGGGGCCCTACCATGAGCTACCGGGAATGGAATGAAGATTCCCGGCTGGAAAGTGAAACTGGGAAAGTTTGGTTCCATCAATGAAACCGATTCCAATTCCAGCCAAGAAACTCTATCCAAGGTGTTCGTGGTGGGGAGAAATAACTCCCGTTGGAACGTGACGTTATTTCCAGATGGAATTTCATTCCATGGAGCTCATGGTAGGGTTCCAGGTTGTATTTATTTATTCTTACATTTCAATATGCTGACGTATGTGCTCATTACAGGGAAGGCTTATAAGTCTTTGTCAAGTTAAAGAACTAATTAGAGAAGGACATCACAAACCAGCAGGGTTTGAACCCGCTACTTCCGCGAGTGTTGAGGATCTGTCACAATGCCCTAGTAAGGAGGTCTCCGCGTTATATTAGGGTGAAGGATTTTCAAAAACTTTCAGTCCCACAGTAGATTGATCGTAAAACACGATTCCCATCATATAAACGACATCACTGCCAGGGATTAGTGAGCGAGGACCACTTTGATCAGTCTGCGAAGGGATCATTAGTATGACGTATCGATACTCGATTTACCGTTCTACCATAAAGAACTCGACTTCACGCGCAGGTTATCAAAATCTGATCTGCAATGGCATGTTTTCGGACCATTTTAAGGGATGTTTTTCAACCCTTTGCTAACAGTCCATCATGCTGTTCTAGTGCCATGTAAGTAAAGTACTACTATTACGACAACTTGTGCTCCTTACAAAAAAGGCTTATAAGTCCTTTTGAAGAATGGATAGCACAAATTAGAAAAGGACATCGCAAAGATGCATCCAGCATTATGATAGGAATCGAACCCGTTGCTTTCACGCTACCGAGTGTTTAGCGGATCGGTGAGACTACTCGGCCGGGAATGCCTCCAGGCTAAATTAGACTGATGGTTTTTGAATCTTTTGAACTATTTAAGGTTCAAAAACAATTCTTTCATGTGACAGTATACAGTGCTCTAATAAATTAATAAATAATAGACTAACTTTATTAATTTTTGACCCAATAAATTGAATCTTCATGTTTCAGATCTCAATATTAATGGTTCGAAGGGATGACCTCAAATACGCTAATTAATTAGTGCTGACGACAGTTTAAGTTACAGAAATCAGACGCAAAAGCTTATTTTTTCTGAATAAATATATATATTTTTCGTCGGAATCGGATTTCTGACTCAAAAAATGCACAGGTTATCTTCAATTTAGGAAATATTTTCCCCATAGTTTGGTCAGGAGAGCTGTCCAAAGATTGAACCCCGAAATGTTAAATCCACTTTTTGCGTTGTTCGTCATATCTCGAGAAACTTTTAAGAGAAATAAAAAAAATTTGCACAAAATTATAAAATTCGTTTATCTAAAGGTAGTTCCACACAAAAAATAACTTTAAGTAAATATTTATTATTTTTTATTATTTCATTTAACAATAGTCGAAAAAATTTTGAATTGTAAGGTATGCAATTTTTTACATCATTTTAAAGAATGTAATTTTACATATCAAACTACAAAATTTGTGCAAAATCGGTCGAATTTGAGAATTTGAATTTTAAATCGAATATAGATTTTAATTCTCCAAAAGATTTCGAAAAATTTTATGTGATTATCAGGTATTGTTTTTATTAACAAACTTACTATCTGGCCACCTGCCTAATTTTTTTTAATTAAAATTAAAAACTTCGAAAGATACATTTTATGCCCATTCACATGAATTTGCAGAAAGAATTGCTGTTTAAACTTAATGTTTTTATGCAATAAAATTTTAAGAACCATCAATTCAATTGATGACACACTGTTGTGAGTTTGTAACAGTTACTATTAACTGTTACAGTAAGTTTTGTCCATATTTAACAATCGCCAACTATGTAAATTATTAAAATGATGAAAATGTTTAATATTGCGCAGTTTTGGGAAAACAAGAAGTGTTTGTGAACATTTTCTTAATGTTTTTAAAGTTACTCCAATGGTTCATTTGCTTGGGCTCATAAAATAGCAGAAAATGAGAATTATTGATTTTAATAATTTCTATCTAGGAGAAAAAATTTCGCTAAATTGGTGATTTTTGTTTTAGGAGAGCATAAAATGTGTTAATAGAATAAAATGGTAATGAAATCTTAAAATGTTCTTAGCATAATTTGAAGCTTTGCGTGAATCCTTTCTGTGGATCTCCCTAACCAGATCAATCTCTTGAACGTCCATCCTTCGATTCCACAACTGTCATCACTTGTTTGCGAAGATTTACTTGCTTATTGTAAATAGAGTTAAGAATAGTAACATTTTATTTATATCCTTGTTGTCATAGATTTTAAAACAATAAAAACAATCTTGTCTTAATATATCAACTGGGAAGAATATGTCCCAGTAGTTTTTTTCATGGGTCATTAGTTACTGAAAGAGATTAATAGGACACCAATGCCCCACGGCCTAACTGCGAAAAGTGTGAGCATATTTATTTTTAAAAAAAGCTTATTTGTAATATTATCAATGGCAAAAATAAAAGAACAATGTGCAGCTAAAAATCCCCCCCTCCCCAAATTTAAAATCAGTCCTGAAAAGTGTCCAAACGGCAGTTTTTTCTTTTATCTCTTGTGGGGAAAGAACTTCGAAAAACACGTTTAAACACCCTTAAGACGGCTTGCGTCAAATAATACGTTAATATAGTCCAGTGAAATGGTTTCTTCCCTATATGTATGTTATGTCTGCAAATATTACTAACATTACAAATTTGATTTTAAGATTTTAAAGTTTTTTTTAAAATTTATTGTTTTGGTAAAAAATGGTTCAATTGAATTGAATTTTATTAATTTTATTTGAATTTTATAATGATAAAATAATGGTTCTTTTAAACTTACTCTTTAAATTTTAGTTATTGGTCTATTCAGATCACCAAAAACTAATATAAAATTTTTTTCATAGGTGGCAGCACTAAGTTTAAATTACTTGAAAGGTATTTAGGAAATATTTTGAATACTATTTAGTATTTTCATTAATTAAAAGGAAAATCAAACTAATTTTAATATTTGTTCGTTTTTTTTTCAAAATAAAAGAAAAATGGAATTTTTTGGCATGTTGATGCTGTGTTGGTAAGTCTACTATCCTTCTTTTAAATTGATTTCCAATTATCTTTTGGTTTTTAAGGATATATACAATTTAAATATAGTTCTTACAAATATTTGTTGAGTATTCAATAATAACAAAATGCATTTTGAATTCAGTTTCAGAAACTTTGCTATTAATGTTGTCATTGAATGTTAAATTTTGAGGGGCTTATTTAGAGTTTCTATATATAAACATAGTTCTGAAAGATATGGCATACGGGCGAAGTCTTTGATTGGCCCAGAGTCGAAAAGAAACAAAGCGAAAATTTTCCCGTACAGTTAACACTAAGTGCGTCGTCAAGGTACTTTTAACTGGCAAATTTTCAGAATTATAATTTTTTTCTTCTTCTTCTTCCCTTTAAAATTAATTTTAACTATTTTTTTTTATCTATTATATGCTAAATTGGTGTTAAATGTCCATATGTTTTGTAAAATCAGGATCTTTTAGATACTACGATAGCTATAGCTGGCTATTTTTCATCAAGTTATTTAGATTATTATAAATCAGAAAAATTTAGATTTCCTAAAATAAAACAATATTTTTGTTTATAAGAAGCTATTTGAAATTCTTTTTTTTAGATAAATGAACAAAAACTAAATTGGGGCGTGGTTACCTGTGTCTTAGCTAGTAAAAACTGAGGGGAATAAATAGTTAATGTGATTTTGAAGAGAAGTAAGAAAAAGAATTGAGGGAAAATTCACTCTCCTTTGCAATCATAATTTTGAAACCGTTTATCATTCTCTTTAGATGCTAAATTGGTGTTAAATATCCATATATTTTAGCTTTTAGATACTACGATAGCTACAACTGGCTATTTTTTTTATTAAGTTATTTAGTCATCAAATAAATCGAATCCAAATCTGCCGAAAAAAGGTATGTTTAATTAGTACCTTTTTTATATCTGTACGTTTTTGTCCTTGTAAGTTAAATAAAAGTTAGCACTAATTAATTAGCATGCTCGAGGTTGCCTCTTTGAACTACTATTATGATCGGCGCTTAGCTCTTGTTAATTCATTAGAAAAGTAAGTGATGTTTTTCTTTTTTTTATACATACTGTGAAACAGAATTTTATTCTTTCAAAAAATTCTTAATAAAGTTAATATTTTTTTTTATTCCCTCAAGCTTTTTGTTACATAAATTCAAAGGATTTTACAATAATTAGAATAATAATTAAAATCCTTTTTCTCTTCTAGCATGATAGTAAGCAATTTTGTAAAGGCTTATATATTGTAGTTTTCCTCGATTATACATGATAAGATCTCACTCAAATCAAATTCAAATTCTTTGGTTTTAACCATGTTTCACCAACTGTGACATGAGTTTCCAGTGGATATGCCCAAAATACTAGAAATAATCTACTTTTCTTTCTTTGCTGCAATATTAAAAATTTACCCTTAGTTTCGATGCATATAGATAAAAAAATTTACGCTTGAGAGTTTTAGCCGAAACGGTTCAGGCTTTCCTGAGGAGTTGGTTCGAATAAAATTCATGAATATCAGTGTGAATTTAAAAAATACAATCACCTTTAAATATATTTTTTGACATTATTTATCCTACATATTCATAAAGTGAAATATATTCAGAAAATATATTCAAAAAGTGAAGTCTTTTGCTTTTCAAACTGTGAGTCTAGGGCACATTTTATGATCACTTTTAAAGTATATTTTTAGTATTCTTGACGAGAATTATATTACGGTATAGATTGGAGATGTCCCTCAATGTAATCAGACGTTTTAGAAAAATATGAGTTTTATATGAAATTAATTCTGTCTTATTACATCTTATTAATGTTAAATGTATTCAAGTCTCAATATTTGTGCTCCCTAAAATAAAACTTCTTGGTATCGTTTTTATTTAATTTTATAACCGGTTTTGAACTCATTCACAACTATCAATGTTCAACTCCTTCTCATTTTGAGGACAAGAAAACTCCTAGATCAAGCATTGGGACAAACTATCCATTTTTTGATGGAACTTTTTTTAAACTAGAAAAAAAAAAAGAAACTAGAGTTTCTAAGTTTATGTATGAAAATAGATTTATAAACGATATCAAAATACATCAATGATCTCAATAAGTTTGAATATTCGTGACTCTACAATTTATTCAAAATTATTATAATTTATACAATTAATTCAAATTATGAAACATTCAAATCTTGAATTCAAATTTGTTCAAATAAATTACGGTTATTAAATTATCATTTTATAACTATCGTTTAACAGCAGACCCGATTCTGGGTTTACGATTACCATAGCCCTCTAATTTTGAACCCAACCCAGAAGACAAGGGAAGTCCTGGATCAAGCATTGGGACAAACTAGTCTTCGTGGAGGACTTTACCTCCGCGTTAACTTGAGAAGAAAACTACGAAAACCTCCCACGGTTAACTTGATGGCATGGGGATTCTAATCCATGATCCGTCTATCACAGAGGGTATTTTAGGTCAGCACTGTGGTCTGTGAAGCAGAATTTGTATCATGGTATCAACCAACTACCACAGGGATACGAACCTGGGTTCACCTAATCAGGAGGTGAGCTAAGCCACCGCAACTCAATCTAGAAAAATGTAGACTGAAACAACACTTTCGTGTAATGACATTAAGAATATCCAGAAACAGTCATGAGAATTTTCCACCCTGGAATCTAAAATTTAGAGAAAACATCTTTTTTTTAAACATTTACTGCGTATGGGATAAAATGTATTAAATAATTATACCAAATATTTATAATTTATATGTCTCTTTATTTTATAATATTTTTATTGTATCATTTCCTTGTATGATTAATAGCAATAATTTTTAGATGATAAAAAATACTGATTACCAGTAAGCACATTAACTTTTACGTATTAATGATGTGCATAAATAATAAAGAAGTTAACTCTTCTGATTACAAGAATGTTTTTTATAATACTGCTATAGTAGTGATATTTTCAATAGTAATAATATTTTAGGTAGTAATATTTTCAATATAAAGCTTGTGAGCATTAACAAATATTATACTGATTTATTTTGAAATTATCAATAAGTTTCAGAGAAATGTTTATTATTATATCAAATTTTAAGCAAAAATTGGAAATAATTTAAATAACTTTGATCTCATGGCCGAGATTTTAATTATTTGATAGCTCTATTAATTAATTAGAGTATAATTTAAGAAAGTCATGAAATAAAATTATTTACAAAAATGAAGCAATATTTTCTTTTTGTTGCATTATTCGCCATAGAGTATAGGAGATTCGGATATAAATCAGGCTGATTTAGCCATATATATATATCAACGATAGGTAAATGAAGCTACTCGGGCAACATAATCAAAAATTTCTCTGCAATCAGTGTGGTAAAATAATTGTTTGCAAAGAGCTGGGTTTTCCCTTACCAAATGAGGAGTTAAACATTAGTAGTCATAAACCCAAGATTGTGTTCAACGACGGTTATAAAATAAAATAAAGTTAGCCAACGGGATGGAGCCTCCCAATGAGAACCCCAGCGGTTGATACGAATACTGCTCCCGACGTCAGCACAGACCACAGTGCTGACGTCCAGAGATAGACGCATCATAGGTTAGAACCCCATTGCCATCGCCGCGAGCTAACGGTGGGAGGTTTTCATGCTTTTCCTCGCTATGTAACGCATATGCGAGTTAGTTCCAAAAAGAAAAAGACTAGTTTGTCCCAATGCTTGATCTAGGAGTTCCCTTGTCTTCAAAATGACAAGGAGCTGAGCATTGGTAGTCGTAAATCTAAAAATGAGTCATCTGTTCAAAACCGGCTACAAAATAAAATAAAAACTGTATCAAAAAGTTTTATTTTAGTGAACACAAATGTTGAGTACATTTGACATTAATAATAAGTCCTCCACGAAGACTATTTTCTCCCAGTGCTTGATTCAGAAGCTCCTTTGTCTTCCGAGTTGGATTCACATCTATAAAACTACGGATTTAGATATTGATAGTCGTAAAATCAGAATTGGGTCGGCTGTTCAACGTCGGTTATAAAGTAAAAATAAAATTAGCCAATGAATGTCTTATAGTGCGTAAACAATAAGACTTCGTAAAAATTTGCTCTAATTGCCTCACTATTTTTATAAATATTCATATTTTTTCTGTAACCTTATGATCTCTTCAACTTACTAATTTTTTAATTTTTTTTTTACTATGAATTTATTCATATTGTTTTTGAATGTTTTTGTCCGCAATTAGTATTATAAGGAATATTAAATTTAAAACATATTTTGGATATGATCCCTTTCAATATATTTTTAGAATCCTTGTCAAACTAGGGATCTTGAATTATTTTTATTGACGAATCAAACATGCTAACGAAATTTGGAAAATCACTACCGAGAAAAGCGAGACTACAAAATCAAAACCATCTTGACTGTGATTGTCCGGTGTTGAGCTTTTTACTAAGACTTAAGTTCTTCGTAAGGACTGACTTCTAATGTCTTAGTTAGTGTCTTCAGCTAGGGTTCACTAGTTCTAGATCATTACATTTCATAAATACCATCAAACTTCAAAAATATTTCCTTTAATTTTGGTCCCACAGTAGACGACTGATGGTAACACGCATGTCCCAATAGATCACCGAAGTTAAGCAAGTAAATTATAAAATTTAAATTTTATTCAAAATAGCTTATTTGTACATTGTGAAACGAAGTCGAGTATTAATAATTACAATCTAAATAATTAGGAATTAAATTACCTATCTTATACGCTTTCATATTGGGTGGTTATAATTAAAATTTTTAAAGTGTTTGTTGGAAATCAATGAAACTTGGTATATACATTATTAAGACCGGTTGTTCCCAAAACTCGGTTACTCTTGAGTTCCGCTAAAGGATGACAAGGATTCCATACGCGAAAGCTTTTCTTTAAACCAGTAATGATTTTGAAGTATTATTTTGAATAACATTTAGGATCGAATCAATAATTCAGCATTTAATTTCTGTTTTTATGCGATTATAAAAGGGACATTTATTCATTA